AGTTCGTTCCGTTCGTTCGTACTACTCTACTTCTTCGTTTAGTTAGTACGTAGTAGTACTAGTTCTATAGTCGTTCTTTCTTACGTAGTACGTTAAATAGTACTGTAGTCTCTCTCTCTCTCTCTCTCTCTCTCTCTCTCTCTCTCCACACACAGACCTGCACACACCACAAAAAAAACAGAAAAAGGAAAAAAAAAAAGTTGCACCTCTGCATCTCTCATCACGACTACTGCTTCCTCCTTCCGTTGCTGTGGAATTAAATGCAAGCTGTATAAATTGCCTTTGGCCCTTCTATTGATGTAGTGTCCCACACACACACAGACCCATGCACATGCACAAAAAAGAAACAGAAAAAAAGGAAACAAAACATTGCACCTCTTCATCTCTTATCACCACTACTGCTTCCCCCTTCCGTTGCTGTGGAATTAAGTGCAACCTGTTACCTGTATAAATTGCCTTTGGCCTTTCTATTGATGTAGTGTCATGTTAGCATGTCTTTGTTTGATTTTTTCATATTTGATATCAGGCTTATCTTTCCTCTTCCACCCCACACAACCCCCCGCCCTTTTTTTTTTTTTGTTGTGTGTGTGTGTGTGTAGTGTCTAGTTTGCTGTGCTTTCAATTGTTCACTAGCATTTCTTTTAGTTCGCTCCTCCTCATGCACAACAACCCCCCCTCCTCTTCTTCCTTTTCCCTTTTTTTTTTTGGGAGGGGTTATTCTGTTTGATGTAAAAACCAGTGCCCTACTTACACCTGTTGCCTTTGGATTTGCAGGAGGTTTTGAGGCAGAGAGATATAGCATTACTTGCAGCTGTCGATGCTTTGCAAGAAGCATTTGCTGCAGAGAAAATGATCAAATGCTTGAGGTGAATATACAGATGAGTATAGTGAACGTTCTTGATAGTGCATAGTTTAATAAATTATATAGTAACTGCTTATCGGTATAATTAATTTTTAACTAAGAATCCTAATTTTTAATTTGAACAAGGTTTCAACGTACTCATTCTAATTTCATGATGAGAAACATTTATAACTGTTGATGTCAGCGACTTTTTACCTGTTCAACCACTGTCTGTATGCAGTGTAATTATTGATTTCCCATTGGTTTTGAACTAGTTCCATAGTTTTGAATTAAAACACATAAAAAGAACTTGTTCCATGGTTTACCTGAATGTGTGTTATTTATGTTTCTTTTCTGTTGTTGCTTCTGATCAAGAACGAGGCTGCAGGTTTTCCAGATTTCAGACAGGAATCTGAGTAATCATAGAACTATTTTGTGGTAATTAATAATTATAGTAGCAAATATTCCCCTCAAATTAGTTTTAACAACATATAACACTAAATATAAGTCCATGAAAATAGGATTTTCGAAGATTACCCTTACCTATCCTATGATTTTCTATAGTTTAACGATAAGGCTTCTCAAAATATTTCACGCACTAAATCTTCCCTCCCATATCCCAGCTCACTTCCTATCCTAAGAAAAACTAAAAAAAATAATAACACTAAAAAACTAAAAAATAATAGCACTAATCTTTATCTACATCATTCTCTCTGGATTGAGAGAAGCTCGACCTCGAGCTCATAGAACTCAAATCTTTTAGAGGTCTTCTCAAAAGCTGGTGATGCAGTCCCACCATACGTCTCAACTTGATTTCTCCTTCAAGCTCATAGGGTGGTACGTATCATTTTCTTCACAATTGACTCTAGAAATTTCTTGCATGTTTGGGCTATCAACATTGTCTTTTGCATGGAGATCTACGACTCCATATTCTTCTTCCTCCAATTGCAATCTATGAAATAGATCTCGTAGACTCTCTATAGGATGTGGATCTTGTCTACAACCAGTACCTTGAGTTTGTTGTGGGACTTTTGGTGCAAGATTAATATGGTTGCGAGCACCCTCTTCACGATGAAGATTGTTCTCCAACCGTTGCATCCCTTGATTGGTTGCGCTTATATCGCGTCGGATACCCTCCAAGGTTGTGTGCTCAGGCTCTCTTGAATTTGCTGACCCATATAATCCATGAGTTGCGGCAAATATCCTCGATCGTAAGAGCAAGTTTCGGTGACATCTTAATTGATGGATCTTACTTGCTTTGATACTAACTGATGCAGGAAGAAATAATAATAAACAAAAAAATAAAAATAAAATAAAAGTTTGAGGGAATATACCTTCTTTCAAAGTCTGCAAGGGAATCCACCCCAAAAAGATCTATTTATAAGATTAACTTTAGTCAATTCCCATCTCTCTTATTTACAATGAGGGACTTTTTCCCTTTAAATAGACCTCAAGAGAAAATAAATGAATAAATAAAAAGAAAAAAGAAACTCTCTTATCTCTCTAACTCACACCACTCTTCATGATCCCTTATCTCTCTCTAACTCTCATGCCCTATTTTCCTCATTTCTCCAATCTTTAGCTCTTATCTTTTTCCCATATCTAGATCTCCTTAAATGTCTCCTTCCCACGTGATGCCCCTTAAATATCTAACTAAATCTCCTAAGTCCATGAAAATTGGACTTTCGAAGATTAGCCTTACCTATTCTATGATTTTCTATAGTTTAAAGATAAGGCTTCCCAAAACAACTCACGCACCAAATCTTCCCTCCCATATCCCAACTCACTTCCTATCCCAAAGAAAAACTAAAAAAAATAATAACACTAAAAAACTAAAAAATAATAACATTTATCTTTATTTGCATGACAAGTTGACTGAAATGAGAAATGTGTGTTTATCTGTGTTGGGAACCATTACTTGCTCCATTGCCTCTTCTTGTAGTGAGGTCCCCACTGCAACAATTTCCATACCTCAAAATCGACTTGGCTAGCACTGGCAAATTGATCTTAATAAATCTAACCACACCAAAACAGTATTTGGTGTAATAGCAACACAAGCAAACTAGGAAACTCCAAAACAACAACACAACCCTAAAAACTAAAATCCAAATACTACCAACGCACAAATGTACATGGTTCACCCAAATCAAGTTACCTCCATAGGCAACCAGAAAGGATATAATTTCATCATCATGGAAGAATTACAAGATTTGGCTAAATACATTAGTTGTCTTACAATTGGCAAAGCACTGCCGATTCCCCCCTATCCACTACCATAGAACAACCATCAAATCAACCTTCATTGTCACTTTCCATCCCCATTGCTCCACATACAAGGGAGAAATCTAATGAAAACAACCCAAAATATAGGGCAAAATAGGAGCTAGATTTTACCCAAAACCCACAATTCTCAACCTCAACTTCGCATGATTACTTTCTCTCTCTACTCAATGGCTTATTAAACCCCCACTTAAAGAAATTTACACAATGACTAAACTGCACTTAGATATGGAGATAAATACCTATTGGGAGTGACTTTGTATCAGACTCAACATTCTAAAGGCATGATGGAAATAAACAAGTTTATGAAAAGGAACCGGGCGTTCTGTTTATCTTTCCTACTTGGTTCCTTCAATCTATTTTCAGAATTTCCGTGAACCAAATAATTATATGTGGATGTGGAATCCATTCAGGGAAGACCTTCAAAATAATCACTTGCATAATAATATATGAAGTCCTAATTGAAGTTGTTCTCTTTCCTTTTCCCTTTCTTCATTTGTGGTTGCTAGGGGGAAGGAGGGATTTAGTGAGCATGGAAGGAGAAAAGGAGGAGGGGTGAGTTGTCATTACTGTGTGTGCTCCCGAGGGCAACATTCCAAGAACTGCAATCTTTCCAATTTTTTTTTTTGGTTTTTTTTTCCCCTTTTGGAGCATGGACATTTACTTCATTTAATCGTAAAATCATTATAAAACTCTTTGCACCATCCCTTTACATTCAATCAAAAAAATTTAGACTCTTTAAAGACCATAGAAATATGACCATGCTGTAAGCTCTCTATTTATATAAAGTATGTACCTCTAAAGAGGTTTTGTAAGGTCCAGTATTTCAGAAAACGCTAGGCGGCGCCTAGGCAGTCTGGGGGGGCGGTCCAGGCCGCCTAGCACTTAGGCAACCCCCGGCCGCCAAACACCTAGGCGGGCGCCCAGAACTTGGGCAGCCCAGTAGAAAGACAAATGTCTCTATAGTTTAACAATATAATTATAACTGTATAACACATAAGAGTTAGGGACTTAGGGCACATCAAATGTATAGTACACAAGTCCACATAGCATACACTCCTCCATACTCCATAAGTCCATATCCAATTATCCATAGTCTGATAGTCTACACTCCACACATAGTTAAGTAATAGATTTATACAAGCAATCAAAAAAAAAATTTCACTAACTTTGATTGCTTGATCTCCAAACTTCCACCTCCAAGATGTTTCTAAGGACTTAAAATCTTCTAAAAAATCCTCTAATATATTTTATAAAACATCAATCTAATATCAATGGGTGATGCTTGGATCAATTTCTCGTAACTTTGAAAAACCCTGTGATCCTATGGAAATCACTAAAAACTAGTTTTTTTGGGTTTTTCTTTCTATAAAATAGGCTCTAATGGGGTTTAGGTTTCAAATGAACTTAAAACCCACGATTTTACCCTTTTTGTATGAAAAGAAAAATATAAAAAAATGCACTCAGTGAGGGGCATTTTCGCTAGGCACCCACCTAGGCGGGTTCCCTGGCACGTAGGCAAGTTCCCTGGGGCCTAGGTGGGCGTCGGGGACAGCCCACCTAATTTGGCCGCCTAAGCCCTAGCGATGCGCTCAAGCCTTCTGGACCGCCTAGGCACTGGGTGGTCCGTTTTTTAAAACAATGGTAAGGCCCCATCTTAGCCAGAGAATCTGTGACTTTGTTGGTCTCCCTCAACAATGGTGAAGGGGACCTTCAAAGTACTCAAATAATTGAAAGTTTCTTCAAAAACTTGTTGGAGCCTCCAAGGCCAAGTCTAATGTCCATCAACCCACCTAATGATGCCGAATAGTAACCTTCAATAATCAGCACTTTCCACTTGGGGTCAATGTTTTTCAGGCCAACAAGGATCTGCCCTTGTTTCATTGGAAAACTGCACTTGAAACAAGAAACAAAGCAATAAAGTTCTCCTGGCCCTGAAAGTTTTAGAGACCCTGTCAAGACATAAAAAGTCTAGTGCTAAGATATTTCACACTTTACATTGTTTTGCCTTCCAATAAAATGATACTGTTATATCTGCTTGTCTATGTATTAACCTGAAACTGTTCTCTAGTGATGCTTTATCCTGATGTTGATAAACACAAACCTGACTTAGTTTTTCGTTTTTTATAGTGTGTATGCAGATCTCCAATCTTCTGGCAAAGAAGATACTCCCCAGCCAGCAGTTGAACACTTCTTGAACCTCCATGATGACCTCGTTCACAGCCACTCTACCGTTCAAGCTCTAGTGAAAAGAAGTATAAGAGAACCACCTTCAGGTGATGAAGAAACTCACTCAAATTCCTCCAAGGAAACCACAGAGATTTTATTAGAGCAAAAGAAGAAGGCAACACTTTGGATCAAAGCAGCTCTAGCATCAGATTTCTCTCTTAAACCCTTAATGTTAAAGGAATCTCCTCTCGATGCCAAGGATTCCATCTCTGAGAGGAAAAGAAACTCAATCCCATGCTGCGATAAACCCACCTCTGCTATTTGTAAGCCAAAGACAGAAGATGGAAGCAAGAGAACAGGGTCAGAGAAAGAACAAGCATGGATCAAGGGGACTGGCCTTTTAGAGGCTGCTAGTTTGGCCAGATACTTGCGAGTGGAATGCAAGACCTGGTTCTTGAGGTTTGTCGAGAAAACTTTGGATGATCTAGTGAGGCGAAAGCTATTCGGGGGCTCAGATGGCGGGTTATGTGTCAGCTCAAGAGAGTGAATGACTGGTTGGATGAGAGTGGGTTCGAGGAGGATGGCTCACCACAGAGAGAGGCATGTGGAAGAGTGAGAAAGAAGATATATGAGGCTCTTTTGAACCATGTAGAGTGCACATCCATGGCAATGGGAAGCTCAAAGACAGTGCCAGAGGTTACGGAGGCAAAGAGTGAGGTGGTGTGAAGGGAGAGAGAGAGAGATGGACGCATTGTTTATTGTTTAATATAAAGTCGAGGGTGCCGAGATACAAAGTTGGTTGCTGACCCAACTATTTTGTTGTAAATAATATGCTGGAAGCTCTGTAAGGCTTGTTCCCTTCTCTATTTTTGTTGTTAATGTTCTTTCATAAGAATTATTGCAAATTCAAAATCTGGTAAAGTTGTTCAGAGCCTACTATTGATTTGAGACTACGCTCAATTGTATCTATTGTGTATCCTTTAAAAATAAATTCTTACCTACTGATAATTCAAGAACATTATTCCTGAGATGAGATGTTATGATGAATTGATCACATGTGAAAGTATAATATAAACGTCAACTTTGAGAGAGTTTGCATGCTTTTTCATTTTTCTCTCTTCCTTTGGAGTTTGAAGACTGGTTCATCTCCGATTTTGTTCAAGGTGGAACTGCCCATAGAGCACCCTCATCCAAGGACAAACCACGATAGTGTCTTGGTCGGAATGTCACCTTCAGGTTCCTAGAGAAGGAAAATTAGTCAGAAGTTCATGCATCTAACTGCCTATTTGTTCTACATGTGCATTGCTCTAGGAAAATAGTCCCCTCTATTCTAGCTTGTGCGATCTTCATGGACTGCTGAGACTATTTTGCGAGCATGTCAAAAATAACTTGTGAAAACCGGGAGACTGATTCGAACGGTCTCCATTTTGAATCAAGTACTCCCAAGTTTGTGAGTGCTATACTCCAAAACTAGGGTTTCCTCTCTCTAGCTCTCTCTGTAAAGTCTAAAGCAAGAAACCAACTAAAACTCTAAATTCATCTCTCTCTCTCTCTCTAAAGTGAAAACCAGCTGCGCAAAACCCCAAAACCAAGGCTTTCTTTCTCTAATGTTCTCTATCTAAACAAATCTCTCTCTCTCTCTCCCCCCCACCCATACACACACAATCGAAAACCCGTGGAGTGCCTCTGTTTATGGACCCAGGACCTTCCCTTACAAATCCTCTCTCTCACACACCCACACACACTCTCTCTCTCGCTTATTTTTTGCTCCAAACTCTACCAGCTAATTATTTTATTGATGATCAATGTAAAGCAAACTTTCATCTTTGTTTATTTTTTTTTCCTTTTTTTCTCTCTCTAAATCATGTAGAGCAGATTTTGGATAAGCAAACTACCCATGTGACTTTTGCACATGGAGAACCCCATGTCTATGGTAGGCCAATTTTCTTCTAATTACTGGTTGCTTCATTCATTGTTATTGCATTTTTCTTTGAGATTTTACTGGAATTCAATTTTTATTCTTTGTGAATGAAAGCAAACAATTGGGATCTTATTTATTCTTCTCGCTGTACATTATGTAGCTTTGATTCATTCAAAGAGTTAATTTGGGTTTCAATTTTGTTTTAATCTTTCTTTTATTTACTCGGTTCTTTACTTTTTATAATAATTCTTATTTTAAGTTATAATTTCTTAATACAATCATCTAAATCATTGAGTGGAGTTATATCAAATACTTAGCACTGCATATTTTCTTCGGGCCATTGATCTATTTTGTTCCCTGGTACATGAAATATGTGAGTTCTAGTGTTTGATTTTTTTTGGGTTGTTCAGTGGGGAGGGGTCCCTACTCGTGGTGGGAATGAAACTTAATACGTTATATTGCGGCAATCCACCAACCTGACCACTTAGCCTTAAGCCCATTCCTCACCTGAGTTAAACTTGATTTTATAGTTTCAAGTTTTCAATTTGGATCTTGTGAAGCATGATTCGTGATACGGGTTTCAAATCTAAACTTATGATAGTCAAGAATTCAGAAAAGTGCAGCACGTATATGGGATTCTGGTTTTTTGGAACTTGATCATAGTATATAAACAATGTAGGTTGTTGAAATAAGCTCATGCCAGTTAGTTTAGTTTTGATGAACTGGATTTGACATTTTGATGGGTAATGTAACTGTCAACTTTGATGGTTCCTTCAGTTTTGACTGGTACTCTCCTGTCAAAAATAACTTCTCATAAACTACCAATCTTTGGTAAGGGTTGAAAATTTGAAATTGTCCACTTGAGCCATTAAATGTATGTCAGCTTAAATCTTTTTTTTTTTTTTGGCACTTGCAAATTTTAGAAACTTTCTGAATAAACTTAGTTGTACTTGAGCCACGAAGCTTGCTGAAATCTAAACTGGAAATTGGAAATTGGAAATCATAAAGCAGCCAATAATTTTAATTATACAGGCACATCTCCTTAGGTGCTTCGATGCAAATGCAATTAACTCCATGATTAGCAACAACGTTGGAAGGTAAAAAGAGTAGAAATTCAAAGGGGAGCATTCCTCTTGGTATTATAATGGTTTCAATAAACATCTGATAAAATCGATGCTCCAAACCCAAATTTCTCCCTTTCAATTATGTATATAAAAAAAGGCCCAAATTTCCCCGTTAAAATTGATTGCAGCTCTTTCAAGCTTCTGCGGTCTCCATTACCATTCAGCTTTTGTTTTGGAAGTCTAACCGTAGTGTTCTGAAAAACGACTTGGCCAAAGTACTCGGACCTTGGCCAAGGCGAGTTGCCCAGGTGAGTCCAAATAATTTGCTTGAGTTCAATCCTATTAAATAGGACTTGCTTGAGTTCAATCCTATTAAATAAAAGAAGGAAAAAGATAAAAAGGTAGAATAAATATAATATAACTTGCTCTTTTTAACATTAAATGCCGAACCCCAACTGTAACGTGCAATATGCGTGAGCACAATCCAAAAAGCATTCAAGTGCAACTTTTGACTTGAAATAGACATAGTATTTTATATAAGAGTAACGATCTTATGAGACCCTCCCACATTTATGTGTATAGGACTTTAAAGAGTCACCATTAAATTTGATACAGGTATCTAGAAAAGTTTATCTGTACCAAATTTCATGGTGATCCTTTAAAGTCCTATGCACATGAGTGTGGGAAGGTGGATATCACAAGATCATTTCCCTTTATATAAATTATACAAATTTGGTTTACTCTGGCGGAAACTCATCTCGCCCTTAGGCGAGTCCGAAATACTCGCCAATTCAGAATGGCCTTGACCGAGGCTTGAAACTCTGTCCAACAGCATACCTGCATGTTCCCCATGCGATCGATTTAACAAACGACCCGTTTTCCGCCCTCTCAAGTAGAGAAATCTACTAAACGCCAGGTGAAATTTAGTGTTCGATTTGGGAATGAACTGGGGAATACATCACTTTATGGGGATCATGAATTTAACCCAACATTAAATATCAACCAGCTTTGGAGCTAATCATGTACCTTTATTATGGATTGTTTCAGATACGCACATTCTTATTTTGCATGCCCAAGTTTTGATGGCCTAAGGTCATTTGGCTGTAGTTTTGGAGAGCATGTTTAGGATATCTACATCCTCAAAATCTCTTATATCTATCATTTGTTTATTAAAAGAAAAAAAAGGAAAAAGTTTAGATAAAGATGCAACCTTATAATGTAGAATTACAGATGCACCTCAAAAATACATCGGAGAAGGTAGTTCTAATGTTGAAAAACCTTTAGATTGATCATCTCGACATCAAGATGTATGACCATGAAAAATAAAAAGATTTTAAGTCTCAGAAATAGTGCATTTTACAACATATTATCTACACCGTCCATTTTCAAGATTTTCATATGTTTATAGATCTACTTGATTTTAACCATTTTTTAAATTTAAAATTTTGTAATTAGATATAAAAATAGATTTTGAGATAATCCTAAGAACATTTTGCATCAAAATTACATAACATGATAAATTTTGAAGATGCACCGCACCTCTACAGCTTCGGATGCATCCGTATGCCAACTTCACAAAAAAAAAAAAGGTTGAAATGAGCATATCCAAGCTTCTGAGAAAGTTAGTTTTTACATTGAGCAAAGTTAGTTTTTACATTGAGGCACAAGCCTCAATGTAAAAATAATGACATTAGTCCATAATTATAATATTCATATTTTATATTATTATTATTATTATTATTATTGTTATTATATTTAAAGAAATTATTGCAAATATACCTTAATTTAAGCTTAATTGGGGAAAAACTTCAAACTTTTGTTTATCTCGTCTGCACCTTTTTTCCTCATATTTGGTTTTTTTTTGTACCAAAATGACCTTCACGATAGTGGTATTACCGTAATAGTTAGTGCATGTTATACGATACTTTAGTTACACCGTAGTACTTAGGGAATTTTATAAGGTGCTTTTAGTACCATAATACTGAGGGCATTTTATACGATACTTTAAGTACCATAAACTTACACTAACCCTTATACGACATTTACTAACCTATGTTATATGGCACTTAAAATGCTGTAAACCATTTTTCTCACTTTGTTTATCTCTTTCATCTCTAATTCTATTTATGTTTATCTATTATTTCTCTCTCTCATTCTTTTTAATATTGTACAAAATTATATGTATTACGGTAATAAGAGTACCATGAATGTCATTTTGGTCCAAAAAAAGCCGAAAATGAGGAAAAATGGTGTTTAAGGGTGTAGAAGAAGTAATCGAAAGTTCAGGTTTTTTTTTTTTTTCAATTAAGCTTAAATTAAGGTGTATTTGCGACATTTTTCCTTATATTTATTATGAGATAATTAGCAACATATTTGATATTAGTATTATTACATTATAATATATTATTATATTACACCATAATAGTGACATATAATGTTGTTCTAATAATAAAAGTATAAATTTATTATTATAATTTTGTAATTTATTATTAACAAATTTTTCTATAATAATAATAATATATTATAATAATAAATATTATAATATTTATTTATTATATGATCTTTTTTAGTTCATTGTAATATTGATTAATTTTGTAATTTTATATTAATACTTATAAATATATCATTACATAATTATCATCATTTTGATATTACTAAATGATATTATATTATTATATAATTGTTATTATTTTAATATTGTTATATAATTATTTAGGTGTATTATTATTATGGGAAAGTATAGAATGAAACCATTTACCTTTGGTACAAAGTGAGACATTAATCTTTAACTATTAGATCTGAAATTGGGTGGCTGCAATTATATTCCATTGACTAAGCTCAAACTTCCAAAGAAATTTTTTTGAATTTTGTGACACATCCAAGCTATCAAACTTCATATCGGAGGGTTGTTAGTAATTGTGACCACTTTGTATCAAAGGTAATTGGTCTCATTGTATACAATCCCTATTATTATTATTATATTGATTATCATATTAGGAGCGTCAAATAAGATCTGAACCATCTAATTTATTTATGATATTATAGATGTTATATTTTCAAGAAATCATTTTTATTACATATATTACAACATAATCATCAACTTATGAAATGAATTATTAAACTAAATTAATATCAAATTCCTAAAACTTGGTTTTCAACTTAGTAGAGCCTAACATGGATTTGTCATATATTAGGTTTTCCTACAAGTTAGCCAAACAAAACTGTTGGTAAAACCACATTTTACATATACTACAATTTGTAAACCCAAGTTTATCCCTTAAATTTGCAACTGCAAAAAATATAAAAAATATTTTTAATAAAATAAACTGACCAAAATGCTTTTGAAAGTTTTAGAGGTATTTTAGTCATTTTATTTTATTGAAAAAATTTTGTTTATATATTTTTTAGATGCACCTCATTGAGATAATGACACTTACTAGATTTTGTACGTATAATTTATATAATAAAAACTAAAAATAAATTACTCTGACACGTTAGATCTAGATCAAACGGCCAATTGACTTATTTGATCTAACTTGGATAGCTAGATAGTGGAAGTGTAGAACTTCTATAGATTAGGGGTAGAATAGGAACCTTTACATTTTTATTTATTTATTCCTTTTCTTTCTCTCCGAGTGATAGAAAATCCTTAACAAATTGTCCACCATCATATACATTAGTATTTTTGGTTAAATCAGTGTTTGGTATGTTATTTTCCAGTAAAAAAACACCTCAAACTCGCACAAACAAAGAAGTCCCTTTCGAATATAGAATGCAGGATGAGAGCTAAGATCTTCAAGTAATGCTAGAGCAAGCATTACATGCTTAAATAAATCACAAGCCAATAATATTGTTGACTCTCTGTCTCTAAATAATAACTTTTTTTTGCGATTTTTAGTCTTGCCTTCACAGTCCCAAACAAGGAAGTACTATTTAAAGGAAGGGGGAGCACACGCCTTTTCCACGGTTCTCACTTTCCTGTCGTGTTGGGAGTGAGATTCTCTCTCTCTGTCTCTCTCCCTCTCTGTCTCAGTACCCCAATTTTATACTTGCTATCTATCTCTCTCTGTTACTTTACACTTGCAAATATTCAGGCTCTCTCTCTCTCTCTCTCTCTATGTTACTCACTTTTGCACTTGCAATTTTTCAGGTTGGCTTGTGGGCTCTCGTTTGAGCTCCCAAATGTTGGTTTCAGTTGATCTTTTCTGATACCCAAATGGCAAAAACTTGAAAACCATCATTCGATATTGTTGTTGAGTATCCAATTTGGTACCTTCCATTAATTTTGCTGGTGGGTTTTGCTCATGGAGAAATCGTTGGTTTTTTATTCTGGTTTTTGGTGTTGTTTGGTTTTGGCCATGGCCGCTCTGGTTAAGGGGAGGTTTGTGGTGGAGAAGAACAGTCTCACTGTTACTTCCCCTGATAGCATCAGAGGGATGCATGATAGTGCTATTGGGAATTTTGGAGTTCCACAATATGGAGGAAGCATGGCTGGTGCTGTTGTTTATCCAAAGGACAATAAGAAAGGATGTAAGGGTTTTGATGAATTTGGCTTATCTTTTAAGAGCAAGCTTGGGGCTCTTCCTACTTTTGTCATGCTCGATCGCGGAGGTTTGCTCTCTCTCTCCTCCCCCCTCCCCCATGATTTATTTTTTTCTGGAATTATTAAGTGTTTTAATAGACGACCTATATGCCGAGTTTCTTATAGCTTCATGTTGAAGCAGTCTGATTTCCAGTTTCATGTCCTTATGCAATTATTTTTGGTATTGAGGAATATGTTTTTGATGCCTATACATGTCTTCTTTTATAGGGTCTGTGCAAGCTTCCATGTATGTTATGCTTTTAACTGCCTTAGACAAGTTAAAATGTGTTTGTTTACTTGGGTAACACCATTTTCTGTAAATGGTTTTTTGAATTCTGAAAACTTGATTTGGGAGCTGGAATATACTTTGTTGAGGATTGTTGCTGGCATATGCTTTCCAATGCCAATAAGGAATAGTAGAAGATACCAGGATTCAGGAGATTCATTCAATCTTGTATCTAACTTTAACGATGCTACTGAAATTCCAGTTGCTTGAGGATCAAACTGAAGGATTCTCTCTACTTCAACTTGGATGAGATCAGTTGAAAGTCTAGTTGTAACTGTTTAACAGAATGGACTATCTATTTATCAAAAGTCCAAAATTTTATTCACCCAAAAAAATAAAAAATTCCAAATTTTGCTCATCTACCAACTGTAGAGCATAAAAACTTTGAAAGGTCCTGTACTTCACAGCGTAGTAGTTTGGCTTTCTTTCACTTGAGCTTGCTCTTTCATTAGTTGGGTGCAGAAGTTGTTTAACTTCCGGGCTATGGTTCTCTTCTTGATTAGGTTCCACAACAATAAGGTCATTCATCTGTATGCTAACATACGTCAGTTATGCATGGACTTGCATGTCACTGCTATTGGATTTATTTGTATCATGCATAAATGAATAAATGTCAACTTTTGACTTGTAGAGATGTTGCGTGTTTACAACAGATGAGTTATTTGAAGCAGAAAACTTTGCTGTCTGTGCTTTGATTTTGTGGATGTTTTTCTATCAGACGCTGCAAAGTTCATACAAGAGTCTTACAAGTATCCAAAACACTCATATGGAGTTTATGTAGTCTTTTGCATCGGTACCATCAATATATAGACTCTAGATGCCAAATTTAATTGCTTATCCACTTGTAGATGACTTCCAATGAATTTTGATATTTTTACTTACCCCTTAAAGTAGTTGATATCTTTCGGTTTCTGACATCCTTTAGACCAATGCCCAGATTTCTTATGTTCAAACCCTGGCATGTAATGAAGACAACATCAGTAATTGTCTTCTAAATGTTAAATGTTTTGGGATAGTGGTCTACAGAAGTTTGGGTTGCGGCATTTTCAATGTCACTAAGTTTGAACCTGATTGGTTATAGTGTTGGCTTCAGTCTGATTCTATGCATGCCTGTGCTCAATTCCACTTTGTATTTGTTAGATTTCATTTAGGTCTTCTGTTTCTTAAAATGAATTTGTGATCTATCCATAAATGTCTATGCGAAAATGCTGACGTTATGAAGTTGTAAAGAAGGCCTAGCAAATGTCCTTTATCATTAAATATTAAAGGTTTTTGCAGCTGTTTATGTTGAAGTTACGACTCTAGACAAGTGAATCTTCCCTTACTCATACTTTAATATCTTTTTTCTCCTTGGCAGGTTGTTTTTTCACATTAAAAGTTTGGAATGCACAGAATGCTGGAGCAGCAGCAGTGCTTGTTGCAGATGACACTGATGAACCCTTAATAACAATGGACTCGCCCGAAGAGGATGACAAAGCTGCTCGATATATTCAAAACATAACAATTCCATCTGCCTTAATTGATAAAAACTTTGGTGACAAATTAAAGAAAGCTCTAAGCAATGGTGAAATGGTTAACGTTAATCTTGACTGGAGAGAAGCTGTTCCTCACCCAGATGACCGTGTTGAGTATGAATTTTGGACCAATAGCAATGATGAATGTGGACCCAAGTGTGACATGATAATGGGTTTTACTAAGGATTTCAAGGGAGCTGCACAGATACTGGAACGTGGTGGTTATAGTCAGTTCACCCCACATTATATAACTTGGTATTGTCCTCAAGCATTCACAGTTAGTAAGCAGTGTAAGTCTCAGTGTATCAACCACGGACGGTACTGTGCACCTGACCCGGAACAAGATTTTAGCCAGGGATATGATGGCAGAGATGTTGTTATTGAGAATTTGAGACAATTATGTGTGTTTAAAGTTGCTCAAGAGAGCAAGAGACCTTGGGTCTGGTGGGATTATGTAACTGATTTTCAGATAAGGTGCCCAATGAAGGAGAAGAAATACAATAAGGAGTGTGCCGACAAAGTGATCAAGTCTCTCGGTGGGTTTCTCTCTGAGACCTCAATCACTCTGAGAATTACACATGTACTGCACATACTGGAACAATGCATACATTTACTGTTTCGAACATATCCTTTACTTGTTAATTTCTTATACAAGGATTTATGTGAACTTGTGAAGAATGGAATGTTATTTAGCGTGAATTAAATTAGGATTTATGATGTATGTGCACATATGCATCAATTGCTCTGAATTTCCCTAATTACTTCATTGTAACTGAATATGTAAAAGAATGAAAAAGACGATTATTCCTGAAGGCCTGGTGCTCAAATAATTGTATCTGGGCAGGCTTGGATCATAAGAAGATTGAGAAGTGTATGGGGGATCCAAATGCCAACGCAGAAAATCCCATTTTAAAAGCAGAGCAAGATGCACAGGTATGATTCATAGCTTACACAATTTCCTCCAGTTGTTTTCCTCAAGAATTATTTGTTGGAAATTTGTTATTCTTTATTGTGGGTTTTCTTTCTATGATTGCCTTTCAGGGCTCTTTTGTTTATTTATTGTTTTGGAGACATCTGACATGGGATATGGTTCTCTTTTATAGGTGGGAACAGGCTCCCGTGGTGATGTTACTATACTGCCAACTCTTATTGTTAATAATAGGCAATATAGAGGTTAGATATGAAACTTCATTGCTCTCTCTTTCTTTCTGTTATAAGTACTGCAAGGACATTTGGAATATATGGTGGTCATGCCATCTTAATTCTGAACTTTGGCTATGCCATCTTGAATATACATAATTGCAGGAAAGTTAGATAAAGGTGCAGTTTTGAAGGCTATTTGTGCTGGTTTTGAGGAAACAACTGAACCGGCTGTATGTTTGAGCAATGGTGAGTCCAGACTTATTTTGAATTCAGAAACAAATTTTTTATATCAGAATTTCTGTGCTGGACAATTGAAAGCTGGTCCTGATTAAGTTAAATGCTTGTAAACAGATGTTGAGACAAATGAATGTTTGGACAATAATGGTGGTTGCTGGCAGGATAAGTCACTAAATGCTACTGCCTGCAAGGTATGATATTCTGCATTAAATTTATAAGCAGCTTTTCTTGTATTATCTAGGTAGCCATTATTGCCCTCTTTTTCAGGATACATTTCGTGGAAGAGTATGTGAATGTCCCATGGTTCAAGGGGTTCAATTTAAGGGAGATGGTTACAGCACTTGTGAAGGTCAGCACAATTCCACTTTTTTCTTTTGAGATGTGATTTTCTTCATTTTACCAAATTCGACTTTAGTTGTGCTCATAAAATCTTATCTGGACTATCGCTTCCGGTGTTAACTTGTGTTGCCTTATTTTCTGGATAATTTTGTATTCTGATATTTCGTTGTAAATTTATAAATTTTGCAGATTATTATTTAAACTTACATGAATTTTATTGTTAATATATAGGCCTAATTCTTTAGGTTGTTCATTTAGTATGGTGTATTAAACAAAGCATGCCAACATCATGGAAAAAGCCAACAAATCGAAGCCATGGTAGTTTCATGTGCTACAATCAAATTGATGAGGGAATAAGCATACAGACCAGCATATTTGCGTGAAAAGCAAATTTCAATTTATGAGGGATCAATCCCTTCTGACAGTTTCGCATGTGTTCAATGGCAAAGGAACTCCTGAAGATGCCCTTAAAACAACTATCTGAGTAATATGCTTGCAGCATAGCTGATGGCTTGGCTAAACAAGGAGCTCTCAACATGAACTTAGTGCCCAACCTCCCTAAGTTGGGAAACCGCCTGGAAAGGAAATTCTTCTCTCCTTTAGTTGTGTTGAGACTGAACAACCATTTTTTGTTTTGGGAAGGCTATTCCCCTTTGTTTTGTACAATGTGACCTACAACTAATGTAGGTCATACTTTTACATTTCAATACAATATAGTCACTTTATTAAAAAATGGTCATAGCCTAGTTCAATCACCAAAACAAATTATCCATCCTATACGTTTGAAAATGAAACACTGGATTAAACATTATCCAATTACGCTGATATTATTGTTTACATGCAAATCAGTGCCGCTAATGCACAATATTGCAGCCACAGATGCATATGGAATTGCAGATGAAAGATATTGGAAATGATGGTCAAGGTTGAGAAAGTGCATCCAGCCAAAACCAACAAAAAGAACACTAATTATGTTATTCTTTTTGGTCGAAAGCTGGCTGCGGATCTACTGGATATACTCAAAAGTTCTAAGAGTTTACTCTACATTTTTAAAGAAATGAAAGAAAAGGGATTGTAAAGCCTAAAATGAAAGAAATGCCTACTATCTTAACTATTAAAATTAAACAATATATAGGGCTGGCACCCTGGCGTGGCCTGGATGGCCCACCTGAAAAACTAGGGCTTCGGCCACAGAATTTGGCCCGAGGGCCTGGCCACGGCCATGGTAGGATCGTTCTTGTGTTTTCCCTTATTTTTTCTTTACTTCTTTGTTTTATTTTCTTTGAAGCTATTAGGTCCAGTCTTGCCCAAACCCAGCCAAGGTCAGGCCTGAGCATAGTTGTTGGAGGCAGACGTGGGTTCAGGAGCAGGATTGGTTTAGGGAATGCTGAACCGCCATTAGGTGAAAGCTCCTTGGAGTTAGGGTCGGCGTCCATACATTCAACAAATTAAGGAGCTAGATTTTAGGATACCCTGGGAGCGACTCCCATGTCACCCGGATCAAGGTTTTGACTTGGAAGGATCTAAGCTCTACTATACATAAAATGAGATCAATTAATAGTATATGATAAAATTAGGATCGAGCCAGCGCCTCCTCAATCCATTATCATACACCTTAGCTTATTACCAATGACACTGTTAAAGTACTCCAATTTACTAGAATAGCACGGTTCAATAAATTGGCTTAATATGATGTTAAACTGTAGTTTTTCAATACCATACTTCTAGTATACCATGATGTGATATGCAACACAGTTTAAAATTTTCTAAAGAAATAAATCTATAATACCAAAGAGAGGACCAATAGTTCGGTTAATAATGTAGCTCCTCTCTTTGGAGGGATCCTACAAGCATGAAGACCCATTATTCATTTTATAGTGAGTGAGATCCCTATTTCTCTAAACTAAGCTCCCTTGAAGATACCTTAGAAGAACCGTGGGATTGAGTTCCTAAGGTGGGACCATGGCTTTACCCCCAAGTAGTGTTCAAGAAAAGCGTAGGCGCCCTCCGAGGCGTTTGGGTGCCTGGCCGCCTAGGTGCCCGCCCCAGGAACAAGGTATCCTCACAAAAATTGAACCCCATTCCCCCTAAAACAAAAAAACAAAGACTTAATATTACTTTACAATAAGACTTAAATGAATGTATAGGATTTTAGTTTCACTTTCACATAAGACTTAACTCATTAAGATATCACATAATCAATAATTTATCAAATAAAGTAAAACAAAAATAATGGAATATCAAAACATGACACATTGTACAAAAAAGAAATCAACTATCCATAAAAGAATACGATATATGCTCAATTTCATCGTCCAAATGAGAAAAAAATTCAATTAATTACAAAATAAATCAATCTTTCAACTACAAACATATAAATATATCGTAAAAGAAAAAAAGCAGGAAAAGAAAAAACACATGATTCACAACATAATATGTTGTAGCAAAATAAAATTAAAACCCTATTTCAAATATGATAATATTTTAAAAAGTCTTCAAAATCAACTACTAGAAGTTTCAAATCCACCCACAAATTATTGCCTTTGTTTTGAGAAGAAGTTGAAAAAATAAAAAATTTATTGATCTTTCGATAAATCACAAGAGTGGTTTTTGGGGAGTTTTTTCGCCCTAAAAGGCACTATTTTGGTTTTGGGGTTTAAGAATACCCCAAAACCCTTCCCCCCCCCCTCCCCCCCTTTTAGGAGGGGGGGTGGGGAAGACATTTTTTGAGCCTCACCGAGACCCTTTTTGCCTTTTTTCAAGTTGTCACGAGGCGAGTGCCTAGACGCAGGGCGCATAATGGTCCCGCCTTGCTACCGCCTAGCCATCATCATCATCATCATCATTTTAGCCTTGTCTCAATTTGGGGTCGGCTACATGAATCCTGCTTCTCCAATCTATTATATTAAAGGCCATATCCCCAGTGAGGCCATAAGTCTCCATATCTTTTGGACTACTTCCAACCACGTCTTTTTGGGCCTATCCCTTGCTCTTTCAGTCCTTCCACTTGAACTAATTCGCATCTCCTAACAAGTGTTGTACTTGGTTGGTGCCACACATGGCCAGCCGATCTAAGTCTACTCTCTCATTATATCGTCTAGTGGTGCCACGCCTAAATTGTCTCAAATAAATTCATTGCGAAATCTATCTCTTCTTGTCTTGCCACTTATTCATCTCAACATTCTCATCTTCACTGCACTCATTCTATAGGTATATTGTTTTTTGTCAGCCCAGCATTCCGCCCTATAGAGCAAAGCTGGTCTCATCGCTGTCCTTTAAAACTTGCCCTTCAGCTTCATTGGTATGCGATGATCACATAAAATTCCAGTTCGCCCACCCAGCTTTAATTCTGTGTGCGACATCTTCCTCGATCTCTCCATTTTCTTGAATTATTGACCCAAGATATCGAAATTTTTTGTACTTCATGGCCATCAATCTTAAATACGTCCTCGTCTCTACTCCTATTATTATTAAATTTGCATTCCATATACTTTGTCTTAGTCCGACTAATTTTAAAACCTTTGGATTCTAGAGCATCCCTCAAAATTTCTAACTTTGTGTTGATGTCGTTTCGGGTCTCATCAATCAAAACTGTCATTTGCGAACAACATGCGCCACGATACCTCATCCTGTAGGTGCTTAGTTAAGTCGTCTATAACTAAGACAAAGAGGTACAGGCTCAATGCTGATCCTTGATGTAGACCTATTGTCACTGAAAACCCACTCGTCTCTCCACTAGTGGTTCGTACACTAGTAATCGCTCCATCATACATATCTCTCACCAAGTCGATATAGTGTCTAGAGACGCATTTCTTTTCCAACAGCCGATAAGCTTTCTCTAGATCAATAAAGACCATGTCGATGTCTCTTTCCTTCGCCCTAGTCGTTTTTAAAAAATTTCTACCTAAGTAACTGCCTAGGTGGTCCGGCGGGCGAATTTTTTAACACTGCCCCCAAGGTTCATGCAACTATGGGCTTGGGCCATGGCTCCTTTGGCCATGACCGAGTGGGGCCAAGCCAAGGTTTCAAAAAACACTAGGCGGCCCTGAGGCGACTTGCCCAGTGCCCAACGCCCAACGCCTAGGAGGTTTTCATATATTGAGGGTTTTTTCTTTTTTCTCTTTGACTTTGGGGGTTAAAATAAACCCCATAACGTTTTTATACAATCTTGGGGGTCAAAATGACCCCCTTGACCCTTTTGGGTTGTTTAAAAAAAACAAAAAAGGCCTTACGGCCCTAGGCGGCCCGCCTATCCCGCTTGGGCGCCTGCTTAGGTACATCCGCCCGTGCAGGGCTGCCTGGGTCTAGGCGTGCGGATTTTTGGTCCATGCTACCTAGGCGGGCGCCTAGGCGCCAGGTGGACCGTTTTTTAAAACATTGGGCCAAGCCCAAGCTTGCCCTATAGAGACTGGCCCGTACTCGGGCCAGGACCGTCTCGGTCCATTGCCAATCCAAAATATATTAGAAGGACAAAGTTACGTAGCCGGCCCACCATTGGAGAATTGGTTCAAAACCAATTAAAGTAAGCAAAATGTCTCCTCTTTTGTTTGGTTTTTGTGTTGAAATGCTTTGTTGGCTTTTGATAGAGAGATTCAATGCTTTTAGAGTGTTTAGAGGTTTGTTTTGGGCTTTTGAGTCATTATGGCTAGATAATGAAGGGATCCCAAAATTTTGAAGTATATTAGAGTTTCTTTGAGATTTAGGTTTTGGGATATGGAGGCTGGGATTTAGGGTTTGGGTGCTAAGGTTTGACGCGGAACCCCTTTGTCATTCAAAACCTTGTTTACTAACAAAGAATGGTAAATTTTGTAGAACTTTCATGAAGTTGCCACATCATTCTAGGCTCACTGATCTTGAAATCTGGGCTCATACATGCTCATAGTGCACCTAGCCTCCCCAACTTGGCTAGTAGGCCTGCCAGAAGGACCAAATTGGTCTTTTATAGAGATCATTTAGCATTTTGATCATAAATTTCCAAGGATGTGATTTGGATGATTCTTGACAAGCTGA